TCAACAATTTCTGACATTGCCAGTCAAGCAGAAGACCCAATACTATTATGGACTACTGGACTCTTTTAGAATATTTTGCTGAGTTAACACACCTATAAGGTTCAAATAATGGAACTAAACCAAAAAAGGGGATACAGATGAATGTTCATTTTGTATCCGTGTATACAAAATGGTTAGAATAGATATATAGTTGTATTCTTTTAATTAATAGAGTGATTTGTTCTAATGGTGTTTGTAAATAGGATGTCATGTCCACATCTTGTACAGCAATTAGCCACTAGGAAGAACGTATGCAATGTGTTAATTATTGAAACTGTCCTACCAATTTGGTTTGAAAAAAAATAAAATATTCCAAGGGTTTCAGTTTCCCTGGAACCACTGCATTGCAGGACTAAAAGCTCCTCCATAGGTGTGTTGTGATCCTAGGACAACTGCGGGCCCCAGCTGTGGACACCTTTGCTTCTTTCTCAGTTGCAAAGTACTGGAGTTAGAGCTTGTCAGGGAATGATGGATACAAGAAAATTCACTTGAAATTTAAAACAAAATTTAAATGAAAAAAAAAAACAAGAAAATTCATTTGACTCCTTAGCATTACCCTGAAGAAAAATGTTGTTTCTTTACTGTAGGGGCTATAGGAATTAGAACTACAAGGCTTGTCAGCAAGATGGGAACACTAATCCATTTCCACTTTCCAGGAAGTTTTATATGACTACTACTGTCTTCACAGCAGAAACGAGCTTTTAGTTTAAGGGCCACAGGAAGAGCCAACATGGGTGCCTTCTATCCTGTGGTCTTCCCATTTTCTGAGGCATAGCAACAATTACCGCCTAGCTTTCTTCCATTTTTGGTGCCAGCCAAGAATCACAGCTCTGAGAACTAGGAGCATTACAGCCCAGCCTGCCACTCAGTGACCTTACGGTAGAAATCCATCTGCTAGCTTTTCCGAGTTTTGCTTTTCTGACACATCTGCAAAGCTGGAGAGGAGGAAGCATGAACCCACAGGCTAATGAGGTAGGTGCTAGCCACAGTGCCCCAAAGGGGTGGCCCTTGTCACTACGACTTTTGTTATGAAAGAATAATATGTAGTTTGCAAAAGGGGAGAGATCTTCCCATTAACAGTTTGGCTTATTTCCCTCCGGTCCTATGACATTCTGAGGTAAGTCCTCAGCCCCAGGGACATGTATGACGAGAGTTGTTATCCTGGGACATTTAGCAGTGAAATCTTCAGGGAAAATTTATTTAAAAGAGATTCATACCTAAAGGCCTCCAAGAGGGTCCAGGGAGATGGCTCAGTAGAATAAGCGCCTCCCTGGCAAGTGCAAGGGCCTAAATTCAATCCCTGAGTTCAATCCCCGGTTTCGCAAAAATAAATAAATAAATAAATAAATAAATAAATAAATAAATAATAAAAAATAAAGGCCTCCAAGTAATGGCTATTCTGCCCCTCTTACATCTATTTTTGTTTTAATTTATAATCTGAGTCACACCACATGGAGTATGATGGGGAAAGAGCTAACTTTGCTCTTCTCTCTTGGATGGTGCTTACACTTCTTTCTTGATTAACTCATAACAACATTTTTTTTGTTTCCCCAAGGGGGTGCACCGTTCCTGGAGGTATTGCAATACCAGGTCAATGTGTGGAGTGGACAGAGCAAGCTCCTATTCCATCTTCCAGCTCCAAAAATCCATTTAATATATTATCCTGATAAAAGATGTATCAGATATTAAACTGATAAGAACAGATACTACATTTGATCTTAGCCAAAAGGCCTTTAATAAGCAATCCTTGCCCTCTTCTCCGTAGGTTCTTACAAGTAAGAGCACATTATGTGAAATGCCCTGGCCTCATTTCATACTTGGCCTCCTGAAGTTGCTCATATTTTTTTCAATGCCATTAGTAGGGACAGAACATAACTGTTATCAGAGAAATATAACTCATAGCCATTGTCTTTCATAGGCTAAGACAGTTTTTAATAGCCTTTCTATTCAAAAATATTAGAATTAATCATCATTTTTGAGGGCCAAAACAAACATAGTTATGTAGGGTCCAACTAAATATATACTAAAAGAAGTTATGTTAAATCAGAATTTTATTTATAGGGGCTTTAGTAACTGACACCCACCCTCACCTTGCTCCTTCCCAAATCCTTTTATAATATGGACAATTCGAAATATTTTTCTCCCAAAGGTTGTAAAGATGGAAATGAATGCCACATTTTGTGTTTAAAACCCTGAACATTCATCTTTATCTCCAACTGTAAGTACAATGATTGGTGAACCATTCAATCTATGCTGGCTTCAGGATCTTATTTTAAAAACCAGGGGATTTGAAAAAAAGAAGTTGTGCAACAGCTTCTAGCTCTGTCCATTAATCACTTTACAATAAGAAGAAATTATCTTTTGCCTTTGCAGTAGTCTTTTTTTTTTTTTTTTTTTTTGGCGTAACGGAGTATTGAACTCAGGCCCTTGCACTTGCCAGGGAAGCACCTATTCCACTGAGCCATGTCCCAGGCCAGTAGTCCTTTTCAAAGAGTTAGAAAACAATTTAGCCCTTTGAATACTCTGAGCAACTCAAAGGCCTCCAGTGTCCACTTGCTGTCTCTTCCTCCTCCCAGTAAGCTTTCAGTGGCCCTGGTAACATTGAGCCAATGAATCTACCATTCCATGTCCACATTCACCAGACTTCTCACAGGAAGAGTTAGGAAAGGGGTCTAGATTTCTAACCTCTCAAACCAGTGGCCATTCCCACTAACTTGAAAAACATGACACAGTCCTTCTGTACAGAAAGACAAGGCTCAAATTCTGATGATTTTTCTTTGGCTCTTGAGAGGCACTACCAGGAAGAGCACTGGCAACTGAAGCAGTAGAAAGAGGTACCCGGAACTGTGACAGGGCAGCCACAACATCATACCTGGTCCTTTGGCTTTGTCAGCTTGGATGCGTCCCAGTCGGAATACAACAGCACGTTCATACTCCTTTATGATCTGAGAGATGAAGGGACAGCATTTAGTCCTAATGGCACCTCAGATCACTGGAAGAGCCCCATGTATTTCCCATGGTGTTACCTTTAAGCACATCCATATGGAGATGGGAAAAGTGATAATCATCAACAGGAGGGACAGAGAAAACAGAATCCAACCACATACGCCCAGCTGGTTCTTGCTGATGCCTATGAAGAAAGAGGTAAATGATGTGATTCCTGGAAAAGCCATGCTGACCAGGGAGTGTGTGGCGAAATGGCCTAGACCATTGGCCAAACCTGAAAAGGAAACCTCAATTCACGTGAACTCATAAATTCAGCTAAACACACACACACACACACACACACACACACACCCCACACACACACACACAATGATGCCTCATGTCTCTATAAGTTAAAATTGACCTATTCCTTTCAAGAAGTTTCAGAGTAATCAACAGCAATGCTTTTCACTATATTTCTAGTGGGCTAACATGGGAAATTAGTTTCAAAATACACAAAATAATGTTTCTCTGAATGTAATCTAGGGGCCAGCCAGACTAGAGAATCAGATCCAGGGGCCCCATAAGTTCTCCAGGTGAATTTTAAAATGATCCCCAAGGTAGATAAGTAGGCACTATTGTTCTGAGAGGGAGACAACACAGCATGAAGAAAAGCATTTTGAAGAGCCACTGGGTGTGAGTTTCTAAGTGTGTGCCCTCATTTATCATCCGTTTGACCTTATAATCTCTCAGGGTCTCCATTTCTTCATCTCCAGAAGAGGAATCTGGAAGTTACCTGCCTTGGGAGCCTTACTGGGGTCTAAAAAGAGAACGCTTTGACATGGCTCCTGACCCAGGCATGGACCTCTGTGTTAGTAAGCACACATTACTACTGCTCTCCTATGTCACATATGGATAGGAATTTAGGGATTCCTTAGATCTTGATAATCATTGCTGACTTTTTGTGGAACTCTGTAGAGTTGACTCACCACACTACATGTCCTTTCATTGACAATTCATTATGACTATAGGTGAATATGGCTAAGTGAATACTGCCTGCATTAAAATGGAACTGAGTTCAGGTCCTACCTCAACCATCTTGAAGTTTTGTAGTTTTAGTCATAAATACATGTTTCAAGTCTCAGGATTTTTTTTTTGCCAAATATACATCTTTTTGCCAAATATGCATCCAATACTGCCTGCATTAAGATGGAACTGAGTTCAAGTCCTACCTCAACCATCTTGAAGTTTGGTAGTTTTAGTCATAAATACATAATGTTTCAAGTCTCAGAATTTTTTTTTTTTTTGCCAAATATGCATCTTAGGTTGTCTAAGTTTAGAATTTTATATTTGCCATTTTACCACCTTTTAAATCTTCATTATGACTCCCTTCTCCTTGCCTTTACAAACAAGGCAGTCTTAACTTGGTTTGTGTGTGCCTCATTGAACAATATGTACTTTCCTAAAATGTGATAAAAGTGCTCCTCCCTAAGCTGTTCTCATCTTTATATGTCTCTTAATTAAGTCACATTCTCCACATGAACACCAGAACTACTAGTGTACTACTAGGTACACGTCTAGATATCTCTACCTAAGGAATCCCACAATATCCTACCTCTGTCTTGAGTATGCTTTGACATTTATCCGATTGCCCAGGCTGGATGGGTTGTGACTATCTTTTCCTTATCCAGCTGTCAATATTACTAACACCAAACAATGCCATTTCAAATCCATCACCACCATTCCGTTCCCCTCAGACCTAATTTCTTTTTAATGAGTACATGTTTGCAAATCATGTAGTTTCCAGTCATCTCTGGGAGTAGGTACATGTACATAATTCATCTTCATTCCTTTTTTTTAAAGCTCCCTCCTCTCCCTCCTCCTCTAAATTCCCTTTCTCTTTTGTTCATTTTTGTTATTATTAATCTTACTTCATGTGTATAACATACAGCATGTACAGTTACTAAAGTTATTAGGCTCCTTTGTTCCACTGGTGTCCCCTCCCCTTCCTCTTCTCTCTCCCTCAGTCTCCAGGACCCTTTCCTCCTTGCAAGAGACAAAGCCCCTTATCTCACTCTATCCATTCTTTATTGTGCTGTTTGCATTTTTGAATAGTTAGGAGAGTTCTAGGCTTTTAGCTCACAGACACTGTTATAATGAATGTTCCTAAATGTCTGTTTTTGTGTACTTACATAAGATAAATTCCTGGCAGTGGATGTGGGAAGATACTATTCATCATTTGGAAGGTTGGTAAATGTCCTTCAAGGAGTCGGTACCAGCCTGTACCCTCGCCCACAGGACATGTGTGCCCTTTTCTGCATGTGCTGTCCTCATGACTTAATGTTAGATGTCCTGATTGTTACATCCTAATAGGTGAAAAGTATCTAAGTTTTAGATTCACGATTTACTATTAAAGTTTTTAATAGAAAGTATTCCTCTATAGTGTCTAAGTATACAGAAAGATACATTCTAAATCATAAGGGCTTGCCTGCCTATTTCAAAATTTAAATTCCTAAAAATCCCACTTTCCAAAGCACTGTGGGTATGTATACCTTGAGGTAGATCAGACTATCAGTTTGCAGTGGGAAAAAAAGACACATTTATCAGTGATTTCTAAAGTTATATTTGTTAGAGGTTTTTAATTTTATTTATTTTAATATTGATTTTTACTTATTAATGCTATTTAACATTTGTGCTAATAACACAGCCTGCCTATTCTCATTGAAAATCATTTTAAAATATAGTTAAAGTCCCTACACACTCTACCTACCCCATTACAGTTTTTAAAAATTTGTTTATTTGATACAGGGTCTCACTATGGTTTGGGGGCCGGCATGGCATGCCCAGAGTTCCATGGCAGGCACAGCATGCGGTACGAAGGATGGAACTCGAGACCTTGCATTGTACTTGCTAGGCAGGGGCTTAGACTGCTGAGCTATCTCTCTAGCCTCCATTACATTTTTAAGTTCCACAATTTGTATCAGTTCAGTGCTTTTATTTTATTTATTTATTTAACATTTTAGAAAGTATCAGCCTTGGGTTCCAGATTTTACTTTCTTTTTTCTTTTTTCTTTTTCTTTTTTTTAATGTATCTAATACAAGGTTTACAGGGTCTACAGGGTCTCATTACACAGATCAGACTCCTAATGATCCTCCTGTTTTCAGCTGCCCAAGCACTGGGATTACAGGCGTGCACCACCACGCCCAGTCTCAACCGCAGTCTCAGCACACCCTGGGGGTAGGGCCAGCATGCAAGCTGGGAATCAAACCCCCAGCCCATGGGTCTGCCTAAGCAGGCATTTTAATCTGCTGAGCTATCTGGCTGGCCCCAGATTTTATTGGCACTTAAAGACATCACACCTTTTTCTTTTACTCAGTTATCTTGGCTGCATCTCCAGGTTGTGACACCCTCACCCGCCATAGTTGTCCCCTCTTCCCTTCTAGGCCTAGAAGGGTTTTAGCCTTTCTATTACTGACACCACGGCAGTTCTGCCTTGACAAACAAGGCTGCATTGCCTGGGCTTGTGTGTGCTTTGCTGCTCAATATGTATTTTACTAAACTTTTAATAGAAGTGCAGGGAAGGCATCCTTGGTGGGTTTCCACCCCGCTGACACTGCTTTGCTGATGTTCAGAGACACCTTGCGATGTTCTGGGCGGGGATATTTTGAGTGCAGCATGCACAAGGATGTCACCTACACTATGTCCTGTGCCATGCCCCACACATTTTCAAACCCATCTCAGCCTTAACTCCAAGCTGAGTGAAGAGTTTTTGTCACACAAACTTCCCTGAGCAGCAAGAGCCTCTCCAGCTCACACCTAAGCTTCGCATCATAACAAGTGAGCGGGAGGCTCAGCTCTGTGGCACTAAGCGTGCTGAGAGGGGAAAGAGACGGAAACCTTCCGAGGTTTACAGCTGTTGGAATCACCAAGTCCACCTGCTGCCGCAAGGATTGCTGGGTGGCATTGGCTGCTGTTGAGTGTAGGGCTGAGAGTGTCACTGTCAGCCTCCCTGTGGCTCTGCAGCTCAGCTTGCTGGGCCTCACAGCCTCAAGGCTGAGACCACTAAGTGCTTCTTTCTAAGATTGTGAAGGTGCAAACCCCTCAGGCAGCCTTTCCCCTTCTGTGTCTACTGACTCTTAAAACTAGAATGTTGTACTACAACCTGCATTTGAGGATGACAGTTCTGGCCAAAAGAAAAAAAAAAAAAAAAAAAAAAAATCAGTTTCAAAACACCTTCAGAAACGTCCCATTTCGCCTTCCTGTCCACTTGCACGAAGCTTCTTCCAGACCATTTTCTTGAGGCTGAGAGGACAGTGAGAAGGAAAATCTAAGCCCGAGGACACCTACTCACCTGCTTTAACGAAGTTTACAAGCAGAAGCTCTCTGGGGATAACTGTCGCATGAGCCGCGAGGCCATTCTATGCACTTCTGTGGGCTAGAGAACTCACCTTCGCAGCCCTCCACAATTACCCCTAATTTCTCAGCCATTCATTTAACAGATATGCTACCGATTACATGCAGACACTGTGCTGGTACATGGCTCTAAGGAGATAGGGGACTTGCCATCAAGAGTTCAAAAGAGACAGCAGGGATGGGTATCACTGAGTTCAGAGTTTGTTGTGCTTACTGCTAAGAGGTCTCTAGCTGAACAAGTAGCTGGAACCTGCCTTCTGATCATGGCTCTGAAAAAGAGCAGGAGAATGTTTGCACAACACTTTCCTTTCCAACTGAGAGGGAAAGTCAGAGCCACAGCACAGCACCCAAGGCCCAGAGCCACTGACACAGAGGAAAAGGACTCGGAAGTCTCCGGTGCAGGGACTCTGAGACAACCAAGGCTTACCTTTTATTTGCAGCCAGAACTTCTTGACTGCTGTTTTCATCACTATCTTATTATCTCCTTAGTGAAACTGGCATCCACAAGTTGCCCAGACTGCAAGCAATTCTTGCCCACCCACCTCTACTGACCTAAGCAGTGAGAATATCCAGCTTCCCCTGGTGAGGCGTGCCCCCGAGCACTGCTCCTGGCACCTAGATACAACTCTGTGTCCCAAGACCCAAGTACTTGTTAAGGCCCTGGAGCAAGCACTCCAGGCAGGATCTGGTTCTTGAACAGGGGTAGAAAGTAGAGGATAATATTCCAACTTTCTAGCCTTACTTGGATAACATTAGAACTAGAAATGAGTTATAGTAAATAAAACAGCCTA